GTGTTCCCCAGTGACAGGCTATAACCCCACCCCCTGAGTGGTCACTGGCGGAACGTGAGCCTAAGAGGCGTGTTGTGGGGAGAGCTGTGAGCCGCCATGAAACGTTCCTCTCTCCTCCTCCCTCATCCTCTGTCCTCCCTCCCCTCCTCTCTCCTCTCCCCTCATCCTCCCCTCCTCTCTCCTCCCCTTCTCCCCCCTCCTCCTCGGGCTTCACATCGGATAAACATGGTCTAGAATTACAGTTATTTTTTTAAATTGTTTCTATGATACTTTAGATATGTTCTTAAATTACAGAATTTTTTGTTAATCTTTCTGGGACATTTGATATAAATTAATAAAATTAAATGTACTTTATCTACATAATTTTAATGGTTATTTTTGGGACCCTTGAAAAATATTCTAAGATTCAAATATTTTTATTATCAGAGTTTTTTATGTTTCAGGGATGTTTGATAAGTGAATTAAAAAAGTATTGTTACTTTTTTTGTTATAATTTTTATTATTTCTGGGACACTTGAAACGTGTTCTAGAATTACAAAATTTGAATATTCATTAACGGGTGGTTGGCCGGTGTTCGGTGTGGTTTGCTTCTTCTTACCTTAGAAACATCTGTCATCCTTATCCTCCCCCCCCCTCTCATTCCGTGTTTCATGGTGACCAAATTGTGTTACCAGCGCCACTAAAGAACTCTTACTAAATCTGAACTTGGACTGGTTTTTGAGGGAGGGGGGGGGGAGAGGAGGGAGGGAGTCGTGTATTATCCAATAACTTCATAACTTTTGTTTCTTGTACGCTAAGGTTAGGGTCCTCTTGATAAAGGCTGACACACTTTTGACGAATTACTTGTTCTGTCTGTCTGTCTGTCTGTCTGTCTGTCTGTCTGTCTGTCTGTCTGTCTGTCTGTCTTCTCCCCCTCTCTCTCTCGGTCTCTCTATCTACCTCTTTTTCTCCCTCTTTCCCTCTCCCCCTCCCCCCTCTTTTTCCTTCCCCGTCTCAAACAGCAGCCCGAATTGCTTCCTACAGACAGTTTCCCCCGAAGAAGCAGAGGTCACAGAACGGATCCCGAAAGTTGAGCAAATTCTCTCTGTTATGTCATTCGCTATCTTTTATGTCATATAGATCTAGGTCAAGACATCTACTGGGCTATTTGAGCTATCTCTCACCCCCTCCCCC